TAAACTACAGCTAAATACAAGAATAATTTTTAACTTCATTGCATATTGCTACAGGTTCAAGGCACATCATGGCTGCAGTGCTTGATCTTGAGAAGCAGTGGAAGTTAGCAGGAATATCAATGTGAATACTGAGGGAGGTATTGCCCTTTCATTACACAAATATTGTGTGACAAGATCACTCTCGCTGCTTACTTTCAGAATCACTGGCATTGAGTTGCACTTACTGAAGCTATTATGAGATGTGATTGTTCTTAAGAGAAATGTCAAAATTTAACAAAATGCAGTCTATTTTGCCACTATAAACATCAAATAGACCTTTCCTTCCTATTTTCCCAGTGAGTTCCTCATCATACACAGTAAAATGTAAGCTCAGCTACTGGAGATGGCAATGGATTGGTCATGATGTCTGGCACATATTTTGATGAAGACAGTTATCTAGAAACATATCTAAGTCTTGCATCAAAAATGAAACAGATTATTCTCACTTAGGCATACACCAAAATTAAAAAAGAGATGAGCAGAGTTGTAAAATCCTTTTCTAGCAAGCTTTAAGCTGTTTTTTTTTTTTTTTAGTTATATGTCTTCCTCAGTGATATAATTTAAAGATATTTTTGAGATAAATGCCAGAAGACTTGCAAAGAAAATTGTAGAGGTACATGAACATAATGACACTACTGAATATTCCACATTTAAAAGTGCATATTTCAGGAAAGGGAATAAAAAAAGCATAGCAATGGGAATTTTTTAGAAGGAGGAGATTCCACTCTATCTTCCTTCAGAAGCTCAAAGAGAGCCCAACCCTACTGCAGAAAATTACCTCTTATACCAGCTATCCATTATCCTGGATAAGTGGCTTTCTTCTGAACACTCCTTTGTATGCTGCATGGATGTTGCTGAAGCAGTGACATGGCAATTATGACTACATAAAGCCCTGGAGTACATCCTGTAAATTATAAAAGTTATGATAATTTTGGCCCCCAGGCCTGCCTGTGGGTGGCTCAGCTACCAGAGCAGAGAAGATGTGAAGGGTGGCACCTAAACCTTTCTCATCACACAAATGCTTCGCCGTGAGTCATGTTGACCTAAAAGATCTGTTTCCCTCCAGCCAGTTTACTACAGGGTATAGCTCTGCCATTCACTTTTGCTCTGCTTTTAATGTGGAGCAGGACTATTTTTGTACACTGGATTTTGTGTTTGTTGCTTTGGTTTTTCTCCCTATAACTTAAAGGGAAAGCCAGATGCAAATTTTCTCTAAATTGGGAACATGGACTAACCACATTACAGACTCCAATCTCTTTCTTTCCAACATGCCTCTCTATTCCTCTTCTTGCTTCCACTTGCTTACTAGTGTCTGGTTTAACGATGTATTTCTTTATAACATTAATTAAGATAGAATCTCTTACAGTAATTTTATCTTGAAAAATTTCTGTTATGGCCCTTCAGTGGAGCAAATAATTTTTTTTCCACTTTGTTTCCACAACAAGCAACAAGCCGTTGCCACAATAATTAACAAGAACCATCAAAAACGGGCTGAAAGTGAACTTTAAGACAATTATCAGCCCCACATCACAGCTTAGCCTAATTTTTCCATATGCTCGCCTGACCTGTTCTTAAAAACCACTGACAGATTACAAAATCTTTGCAGATGATATATTCTGGCTAGATTTTTTGGAAGTATGAGATCCCACTCTGTCCTCCTTCATGTCACAGGTCTCAAAAAGAGAGCCCATCCCTACTGCAGAAAATGGCCTCTTGATAGCAGCCTTTCAATATCTGAAGAGGGCCTTTAAGAAGGAAGGGGACAACTCTTCAGCAGGGTATGTTCTGGCAGGACAAGGAAGAATGATTTCAAACTAAAAGAGGGAAGATTTAGACTGGATATAAGGAAGAAGTTTTTTACAGTAAGGGTGGTGAAGTACTGGAACGGGTTGCCCAGAGGTGTGGCGAATCCCCATCCTTGGAAACATTCAAGGTCAGGTTGGACCCGGCTCTCAGCAACCTGATCTAGCTGTAGGTGTCCCTGCTCGTTGCAGGGGATTTGGACTAGGTGACTTTTAAAGGTCCCTTCTAAAAGTTTTTTGTAACAGATAGCCTGAATTCCTCATATTACAACTGAAGCTCATTATTTCCTGCTCTATCTGAATCAGACTGCAAGTGAAAAAAAAAAGTTTTTCATTTTACATATGAAAAGTTATTTTGCCCCCTTTTCTCTTGACACAGTAGTTTTTCCTCTAGATGAAATTACTCCATTCTTTCAAATTCTCCACATAGATCAATTCTCCAAGAGGAAAATATGTTGGAAAGTATCAATTGTTGGACACTTGACAGTTGGAAATGATTTATCTAAACACCTGTCTAGCTAGCAAGTATAATTATTTTCAACATTTTTAGCCAATGACTGGAACTATCAGCAAGACTTTCTCTTTTACATGGGAATATGAAGTCTCTGTTGGCAAGGACATGGTTGAATTAGTTAATCTTTTGTCAGTAAAAACAGCTTCAGAATGCACTCATCCACAGATTTCTTGCATTCATCATTAATTCATTTTCCAAAATTAAACAAAGACACGGTTGTTAGATCTGCTCAGCCTGTTAGATTTGGCAACCTTGTATATCAATGACAAGGCATAGCCATGTTATTGCTTGACTTTGAATACATATCAAATAGCACTAAGTCTATAATGTGAAAAATGGAAGTTTTTAGAGCTCTGCAGCACAAACACACCAACATTAGATCAATCTCTAGCTTAGAAGTAGTACTGGATTCTTCAGAAAAACTGATTTCTGCCTTGGAAGCAAAAATGAGCAATGCTTTCTGCAGTCTCTTGTTGGCTAGAGGTTTCATCCAATCATGGAAATGCTGATCTGGCTTTGTCTTTTCTTGTCTAAAATTCAGTACAGTGATCTGGCAAGGAGCCACAGCCCTTGAGTTACTCCAGCAAGATGAGAATGTCCCATGCCTCCCAGGCTGCCAGGAGTGCATCGAATCTCCAAAACTCTGCCCAGGGGAGTTGAGCCATGTTCCAAGACTCTATCATTATCTTCAAAGTGGTTTGGACTGTACACTTGGAAGTTTTAGTTGAAAGATAGAAGAAAGCGGAAGGCTCCTCAACAAGAAGCATGATAATTGGATAACTTGTGTTTTTGTGCATGTATGCACATTGTGCCTGCAACAGGCTGCAGTTTTTCTGAAAAGAAAAGAAACTTCTCCCTTCCTGTGTAGGAAATGTTTAAAAATTTAAAAGTAGAGGTCTCACAGTTTCCTATCTATACATGTCACCTTAGACCCTTGAATCTCATTGTAACTGAAGGCAGGACAGCAAAATCTTTTCATCCTGATATATCAGTTACTTTTTTTTTTAAGGCACAAAAAAAAGGAAGTTTGCTTCTGAAGAGTTCCCATAAGGCTTAAGATAAACTATTTCAGGGAATTGTACCCAAAAATATTTAGATAATATAGTACAGCAACATTAAACAAACCACAAAGAATTACTTGCCTTTGGCATTAAACAGTGTTTACCTGCAGTAGCTAATGAACACAGGGGGAGCTCTGACACATACTGGTGTGAGTAAACAAAGTGAAATTCTTCTCCCAAAGAACTTCTAACACTGACTTCACTGAAGCCACTTCATCTCTCTCATTTACTTCATGACTGTAGTGATTTTCCTGGCTTATGTCAGAACATCTTGTTCCTCTGATTTATGTCCTGCACTTTATTGATTGGAGAAAAACAAAAGTACACAGGTAGTCCCAGTCGTAGCTTTACAGCTAACTGAATCAGAATTTCCCTCTTCCGCAGTCAGTTAAGTCAGTGACTTTGGGAGATAATCACTTCCTTTGTAGGCATTTTCATCAGCCTCCTAACAAATACATTTCTATCTCCCTTGCTCCAGTTTGCTGCCGTATCCATCCATATGTAATCTCCATCCATTAGAGCACAGTGATGGTAATAGCACACTCTCACCTTCACATGGCAATTACCATACATATCTTTTCATTTCATCTCTCCATTAGAGCCATATTTGGTGGCTACTGCACACACTCTCCTTAAATAAACTCACGTGCCATAATATTCTACTGTACAAATTACATGAGTAACAGCCTAGCTGTAAAGCTTTAAAATAATATGCCTTTTATGAAGGAGCAATCACTGGTTGCTTAACTTATTCTCTCTGCTGTGGAAAGAAGAGGAAGGTAAAGTAAGAGAAAACATCTATCTTCTTCCCACAGAAAGCCTCCACCTTGCTGGTAGAATCCTTCAGGAGCAAAGGCTCTCAGTGAGAGAGAGTGAAGAATAATGGTAACTCAAAGAACAAATATTTCTGGTTTATCTTAGTTTTTGACAAGGATTCCAGTAAAAATGTGGTCTCAAATGAACCACAATCTGAAGGGCTCTGCTAAACTTGGTCATGCCTTAAGGAGACAGTGATGTCTCCTGGAAAGGATTCTGGTTTAGAACACTACGGTTCCATTATATTTTTCCAACATTTTTTATCTGCCAAAAGAAAAATCCCATGGTTTTATTTGAATGAAACCATCTACTCCTGAGGCTTAAACGCTACCTGAAGTCATAGTGATTATGACAGAACTATCATCCCTGTAGTTGGTAGTCATAATTAAAAACACGATTTGAGTTCGTTAACAGTCAGTGCAAGATTTCAGGGCCCATGAAGTGACACTCAGGCAACAAAAGGTTTTACTTATCTATTAAATATTTGCTTTTGTATCTTGTTATTTTCATGGATAGAAAGTGGGTAGCAATCTATTATTGTTGTCCGCCAGCATGCAAGGTAGTTCATAGCAGACCAAGACTCCAATTCCTAGGACTGCCAGCATGCCTACAGTTATGGAAAAACATAATTGCAGAGTCAAGATCATCACAAGCAAACATCTACTGCATAACATTTTTAATGATACATTTTATTAAGTCATTTCTATTAATAAGGCTTAGTGAAATGCTTATAAATTGCACTATATATAATTTAAAATGTTTCTTTTCTTTATGAGCTTGAGAGATTATTATGGAGCAAAATAGGGCACAACAGATGTTCCTGCCTCCATGGGAACACGTCTTGGATCTGTAAGACCACAGATCTTCCACTTTTTTGTATTCTAAATGAAATCAGTTTGCCATGAACCTTTTTTTTTCCATATCGCAGCTATTAGAGTTTGCAACCCAGTGGAACGAAGGTTTGTTTGATAATTACTTTATTACTTGTCCTCAAGCCAAATTTTTCTCAAGGTAAGTCTGCACTTTGGTGACTGCAGTAACAGGAAGTTGCTAACTTTACAGTAATTAGCTCAGGACCTTAACGTTGCATCTGTGGTAGTGTAAGCCACAGGCCTAAACTTCAGTCCAATTAGTCTACGCAGCGTTCCATGCTGCTGCACCAAACGCATAGTGAGGTAACAGAAAACTACTTTGAGTACATCTACACAACCCTCAAGCTTACTTGAACAGCTCAGGGAAATCCTGGACCAGCTTTAATTGTTCACAAGTACATAGTGCTTAAAGAACTCTGGCGAGCATTCAATTCATAACTTAATTACATATCCAGGGAAGTCATGCAGAACCCAGGCGCTCTTTTTACACAGTTGCAAAGGGAAATCTCAGTTAATAATTTTATGGGAAAAAGCCTGAAAAAAAAAAAAAAATTAAAAAAATTAGATCTTTCTTGACTCAGTGTAGCAGAATGCAACTACAAGATGTGAGCTGTTTATCTCCCCATGTCTCCTTTAACAGCTTTTAATGCTGGCAAGTAGACATAAGCTCTTCTCCCTACTCCCTCAGACAATGTGATGCTGTCACAGCAGGAAGAAGATGGGAGCTCCAGTGAATATTTTAGGGGTCAGTGCGTGGAAACTGCAGCTCTTGAGCAAACTTTTAGCATAACAACATGCGGTATGTATGCCTGAGTCTGCTGCTAGCAAGGCTGGGATCGAACTGGAGAGTTAAGCAATACTTTGACTGCATCTGTAGGTGCTTAAAATTACATATTTTGCCAGTGAGCACCCAACTCAACCTGAGACTCCAGTCATTTGCTCTCGTGCTCTCTGGGCAAGCTCTCATAAAATCTTGGTTTTAAATGGAAGCAATTCGGAAGACTCCAGAACATTCAGACTCATTTGAAACAATTCAGAATAAAAAAACAACTTAGACAAACGTTAATTGAAATGTTCACAAGCAGGATTACAGCAGGGGGAACCAATTGGCTGAATCCCAAGGTCTTGCAGCCACCAGTAAAAAGTCCAATTCAAAAGACGTTGGAAAAAGATGCTTTAAACAGAGCCAAGGGACAATGCCAGCCATCAAGCAAGTTTCATTTCAGCCATTACCTGGTTATATCACCACTACTTTCATATAAAAAAAAAAAAAAGAAAAAGAAATCTATAACGTTAAACAATCAAATGAAGCAATACTAAATTTTAAGAAGAGGAATGGAGATGGAAGCTTTAGTTATATGAAACTGCCATTGATTTCAACAGACTGTATAAAGATTGAGCCACCTACTCAGAGAAGTAAGATTATTACTCTACATGAAGAGTAAGACCTTAACTCTACATCCTTTTCCCCTGCGCTTTTTCTGAATCCTAATGCAAAGGTGGAGGTTTACTGACACAAAGAGATCCACAGGAACCTTCACAGGCTGTGGTAGGAGGTAGAGAATAGTCAGAGCATGGAGTATTTCAGAGCTGAGTATAGTGACTGTTCCAGCCCATGTGACTCATGTTTTGGATGCTCTACAATTTGCCAAGAACTGATGTGCTCTCTATTGTGTCCCAGGAAGACAAGAGCAGAGAGATACTCCTCTTTCTACCACTCTGGCTCCTGTACTGAGCTTCATAATCCATGCAATTTGACTTCAAGATTATATGGGAAATTTCAGAAACACGGATGTGTTCCAGTCTATCTGACTCTGCTAAAACAGGGAAACTTCCCATGTAGCAGGTTGTTTCACTTACAGTGGACAGGTGACTTTCACAGACAAGGAATGCAGGTTTTTTTGCAATGTAAGTATCCTCGAACAGTGCTTCCTGGGAGGATAGCTGTGCTATCCTGTTGCTCTCCTCAACACGAGTCAAAATCTCAAAAGCTCAACTGATCCTTGTAAAAGAAATTAGAATTGCTCTTATCAGATGGAGAGCCTTTTGTCATAACTTAGCCAATTTATATGAAATGACAGCATCTCAAAAGACTTGTACATTTTTAACATTTTGTATCATCATAGCATAAAATAACTCCTCCGTGTGAGTAAAGGAGACTTGTACTTTTGTCTATGATGCCTTTGATGGTGGCATTCAAAGTGATGTTCTAAAGATCAATAGCAAGGATCACTAAGGAGGTCACAGTCTGTGTTTGATTATTTTATTTCATTTTATTTCATTTCATTTCATTTTATTTGTGAGGGAAGGGAAATCTTCTAGACTTGAATGGCTATTTTTGCCACTGCTTAACGAAGTAACTTTGCCAGTGTTGGCTTATGTACCGCAGGGACAGATGGCAACCCTAACTTAAGTCTGAGAATGCAATACAATCACTTAAAAGAAGCCACTCACAAACACTGTGCACTCCGCAGATGTTTCTCCTCCTACTGCACTCACAGCATAATTTTCCAAGTTTTTTGGGTTTTGTTGTTTTTTTTGTTGTTGTTTTGCTTTGTTTTGTTTTGTTTTTTAATAGTGCTCTTAAACAAAACCAACGTTGCCTTGTTTCCAGGTTTATCCCGAGTGAAGATTCTTGCCCACAGTGAGCAATGGTGCTTTCCAGCACAGGGGCAACAAGAAGACAGCGTGCTTTCCTGCTGTCCAAACAGACATACAAACATGTAACATTTGAGAAGCAAGGCAAACTCTGCTGTGAAAACTACTTGCTCGATAGGCGGTTCTGCTAAACAGAAGTCCTCAGGAGTTTTATCCAGATTTCACTAAAAAACTTGAAGCACGAAATGGTGCACTAAACCATTTGTTTCTGCAACTTTGTTGTGAAGAAAAAGCCCAAATAGAAATTGTGTAGCAAGACATCAACAGACTGACTGACTGCACGGTGTGACACTTCTAGAAGGGCCGTGTTAGTTGAGCACACCTGCAATCAGAAAACAGAGGTAATGCCAACATCTGATGCAAATGTATGTCTTTGAAACAAAAACTCCTGTATGCAATAAGCATACTTTGCCCTTGCTAGGCTGAGCACTGGAAGGCAAAGGACAGCAAAATACAACCTCCTAGACTCCTGAAAACCTAGCTGCCTTGTCTTTTCTATCAGCTTGCAGACAGGAGTGGTTCTTCATAATCAGGCCCCCAATACAGACGTATAAAAATAGACAGTTAACCTGTGAAAAACAGCCATGTATTCTATTTAGAAAGCCCATCTATCAATATAGGTTTTCAATGTCCTTATTTCCTTTTTTCCATTTTCACTTACTCTTATTTGGAAAGGAACCAATCATATCGGGACCATTGTCCTTAGTAACCAAGTATCTTCTTTTGGAGGGCTGTAATAAAGCTAACCAACAGCCTCACTTCTCACGTGAGATTCTTCTTGCTGTGCTCATGCAGCCAGTACATCAACCAGAGAGCCTGCCTCTGCCTGAGACAGAGCTGTACACGTGTCACACAAGAGGACAGAAAGTGAAAACTTGAAAGAGAGCAGAGAATAAAGCTGAAGAAAATCATAGAGCATTACATGATTTACATGAGGAAGCAAGAATGATGTAGCTCCAGTCCCCATTTTTCACCCCCACCATTTGTTCTAAGTCAGAATTTCCCAGTGACAGTGTGGCCTGATCTGGGCTGTGGTCCTCAGGAAGACAGCCAGCACAAGTTCTCTGAGAGAGTCCTACAAGTAGAGACAGCAACATGCCTGATAAGAGCTGGCTACAGAAGAGATTGAATTATGAACAAAGCCACCGCAAGTATTCTTAGTAAGTAAGCAGGATTATATGCAAGGAAATGCCTTTCTTCTAACGTAAGTTTTTCTTCCTACTCCAGACAGCCATGGATTTTGACTAACTGCCTAGCTCAAAATAGGCTAGATCATTTCTCCTTTTATTGCAGGAATTCTCTTTGCTTCATCAGCCATACATCTCTAAAATCTTCATTTTTACAAACTTGAACTTTCCAGAAAACAACCCGCTTCAGTTAATACATACATAACTTCTGCCACACTGCCATCCTGCATTCTTGCCCCTTTCCATATCACAGTCTTGGCAGTACCAATCATTTCCCAAAAACATAGGCAGTTTTTCCTGGCATGTGAACACTTACATAGACTGATCCATACCACTCTGCTCATCAAATGGATGGGAGAAAAAGGTAAAATTGGATACAAATGAAATAGCTGGCAAAACTGGAAGCAAGAGTTTTAGAAAGGCCTTCCACATTTGCATGCATCTGACCTCATTGGCATTCACATCCAATTAGTATCAACTGCCACAGTTCACACAGAAAGCTGCTGCTAGTTTCACTTCATTAATACTGACGTCCGAACTCTGCTGCGACAGTGGATTACTATTAATAATTATTTATAGTCAGCTATTTGCACAGAGCATGCTTGTCTAATGCTGAGAGTCGGGAGATGAACTTTGCCATAGCAATTCACAAGTTGTCCACCACTTCAGCTTTGCAGCAAGACACTTTGTCTCACCTAGATCATGCACTACCGCCAGCTCTCACACTTGTCCTGTTACAGGCGCGATTTGCTCTCACATGCAAACTCAGGCTCATTTCACACTTTTGCTAGGGTAGGAAGTTGCAACAGAGAATAATGTTTCTTCTTTGAAGAAAAATGTGAGAAAAAAGAAAAGCTCGACAGTAGCAGCAAAGGTCACAACTGTAAAATATCTAGGTACAATGAATTTTAATCTCAGCTACTGGCTCAGAAACACACCTAGAAGTCCAACTTTTCTCAGACCCCAAAGGGAACAAAAATCCATTTTGCTTGTGCATTTTCAGGTGCTGCTAGTGAAGTTTTACATCCTGTGCAAGTACCACCTCAAGAGCCTTCTAGACTCGGGTGACTAATAAAGCAAAGAACCAGCAGCGAAGACAAGAACAGGTTTTGTACCAAATCAGATCATACGGTTTCCTGTTATCATTGCTCAATTCAGGCCAACCTTGCTGTGTCCCACGCAGTGCTCTGCAGGATGGAAAAAGTGAAGCTGCATTCCTTGCAGCCACACCATGAGCTGAACCTGCCAACTGTGCTGCTCCTGACTGCACTGCCTGAGTCTGGCAAACTGGGACTGCTTCTCATACAGCTGACCTTGTGGTGTCTGTAAATAACCAAATCTCAGCATCTGGTTGTTTCATTTTAGCTGGCATTCTAGCTCCCAAAACCAGGCAGCCTAGAGACACTGAAGAATGGCCCGGTGAAGCCAAGAGTAGAAAGCTGCAGCCTCTGTCATCAGTAGGGTGGGTGTCTGGTAGAAGGAAACTGAGGAAGCTTCACAAATCAAAAGGTTTTTCCTATCTCTTGCCCTCCTCATGCAATATCCCAGATGCAGGAAATCCTAAATATTATTTACACAGTACATTAAATCTATTTAAAACATTTAAAATGTATTAAGACTATTTTCTCATGTTAGACTTAGCCAAAATTAAGACCTTTTGCAGCATTTTCTTCCATGAACGATGAATATATTTTCAAGTGAAAAAATATCCCCTCTTCTAGCAGAGACTTAATTTCAGTTATTTCAGTTTCCAAGAGACACTATAGAAATCAAGCAAGTCTGTATCATTTCACCTTTCTAAGCTTCAAGAAAGAAAAATCCCTGGATTTGGGAGTGCTTGACTTTTTATAAGAATATCAGTGTACCCATCAGTTTGTAGTGCCACCATCCCCATTTTGTGATCACATGCATTTAGTGACTGTTGTTTCTGCTATGAAAACAGTTAAGATGCACCAATTATTGAACTTTTTGAAAAATCCAGCTTTACTGATATTTGTTTTCTAATTTCTTAAAATAAAATCACACTAGAAGTGGCAAATACCCACTAAAAATTTGCATTTCTGTGAAAAAGATTTTCCAGATGAAAAAAATGTCTTCCCAATGACTTTTTCTAGTGTCATTTTTTTTTCAGGATATCACGTAGAATCAGCACGGAAGTAATTTACTGCAAGTTAGAAAAAGTGGAAGGTGAAGTGAAGTCCAGCATCTTCCTACCCTTCTAGTATCTGCTTGTTTGAAGAAGGTAAGCTGTAACAGGATTGTTCTTTCTGCAAGAAACCATATTTAACCCTTCCCCCACCATATCATAAGCAATGAAATCTGGCCTCCTACCACCCCTCTGTCTTATGAGTTGGATTCTCTTGTGTTTAATGAGGTGAAAACTGACTGAAGAGTTTCCTGCTGTTTCTCTGTCTGCATTATCTAAACTCTCCAGTGTCCCATCGAAATAGGGAAACCTTGCAGCCTTCGCTCAACGAAAACAGTAACTGAGTCTCTTTCCTGTATTGCATCTTCTATTTCCCTAAGTAGTTCAGGAAATTTGAATCTTTGGGACCTTTAGCACGGGGGGTTGGACTCGATGATCTCTGGAGGTCCCTTCCAACCCCTACAATTCTGTGATTCTGTGATTCTGTGATTCTGTCCTAGTTGGCTGAAAGTGCTCCAAATTTCTTAGGCAGACACACAGACATATAATGTGGTCACATAAGCATCACCTCATGTGGGCATAGAATGAAAACAACATTGGAATAGCTGCCTGCATGTGTGATTGTTGGAAAGATCCTTGCACACTTGCAACTGCATTCAGGCAAGGAACTATCGATGTCATCAGCAATCTGATGAATGATTCACATGTGAGAAGTGTTAAGATAAATCCCAACATCACTAAAGCTAAGAATAGAATAATTAGCAGGACACGGGGTAATGGCCGCAAGTTGTATCAGAGGAGGTTTAGATTAGACATAAGGAAGAACTTTTTCTCTCAGAGTGGTCAGGCACTGGAATGGCTGCCCAGGGAGGTGGTGGAGTCGCCGTCCCTGGCAGTGTTCAAGAGGCGTCTGGATGACGTGCTGCATGATGTGGTTTAGTGCTTGTGGTGGCAGTGGTGATGAGGAGATGGTTGGACTGGATGATCTTGTAGGTTGTTCCCAACCTTGTGATTCCAACCTTGTGATTCTATTACATCTAAGGTTCTTGGGGTTATCTTTTTCCCAGATACTCATAACTTTATTTACTAGTCCAATGCTACTCTCTTTGCTCAAATGAAGTCAACTTCAGTGAAATCACTGATGCAATGTCAAGAGTATTTCCCTCTGTGTCTTCTGGAAGAATGCTAAAAGGAATTAAGCTGCAATTAGGAGGAGTTTGTTGTGGATGCTGCAGAGAGATGTACATTTGGATTTAGGAAGAGCTTTCATTTTTACTAAGGAAAAAGGAGAACAGGGAAAATGGCAAGAGTAAAATATGAGTCCTACTTTCCAAAATTCTGTTTTCCAGATTGTCATTCAGAAGACAAATCACATTGAATATATAAATCAACATTTTTATTAGCTGCAACAGGAGCAGGAAAATTAGAACTATTCCAAATTACCTTTTAGTTTTGTCTGTATTTCCTAAGGATCAAGACAAAACAGGTGTCACAGACAGCATCTTGGTCGGTACCTATATAAAAAAACAACAACAACAACATGAAAATGCTAGATAGACCCTTCACACCAAAGAGGCTGCCCGATTCTGTTCTTAGTCTTGTGTAAACTAGGAATCAATCTAACCACAAAGACGTAATTGGTCTCACCATGGTGAAAGGCAGGTGGAAATTACATCCTCACCACACCCACATCGCTTGTTTATTCAGCTCACACTATTCACACTAATTAAGTGAAAACAACACCGAAACCTGACAAAACTGGACAAAGTGGTCACAAACTGTCTTTTAAGTCTTTCATCAAGCATTTGAGCCTTTTGCCTTGCCACATACAAAATCTAGGCTGGACTTCCTGCATGTTCACTTAGGTAGCGTATATCAGTGTTTGGTTTAGCAAATGACCATAAAGTCATAGAATCACAGTATGTCCTGAGTTGGAAGAAAACTTCAGGGATCATTGTGTCCAACTCCTGACTCCACACAGGAGCACTCAAAATCCAGACCCTATGTCTGAGAGTGTTATCGAAATGCATGGACACAGACGATTCCTGTGGCGCAAATGATGCATGACAAGGTCTTATTCTGTGCTAATAAGCCCACATGCCAGATCGCTTCATTACAGTCAATTCCAGCTTTTGATGTGAAAGGTGCTCCTGCTGCACTGTTACTGGGAAAACAGGCAAAGCTCACGCACTGCTGTTTGCTATTATGCAAAGCTTTACACAGAAACACTGAGCCCTGTAGACGAAGCCAAATAAGCCGCTGAGAGTTAGCTTACCCTCCAAATTCACAGTTTAGAGCCACTTCTTCAACCAGACTTACTCCCTATGAGCAACTTAGAACTCATTTTCCAGAGACAGTGCCTGCATTCTTCAGTTCACCACTTTTCAAGGAATGCTGCCATAGTGTACATATAAACTGTATTTAACTGTCACTCAGACTGTCCCTTACTGATGCTGTCTATCATTATGAAACCAACTCAAAGCTCTGGCAATACTTAGCAAAAAGACAGGCTTGAAGATAAAATCATACCAAAGGCACAGTGACACATTTTTGATTTCTTCAGCATAACAGGCCTTGTAAGAGGGGCAGAGGATCTCCCTCAGGCAGTCTATCAGACCAGTTCTGAGCCCTTGTAATGTCTCTGGCTGGTTGCTGAGATTCACCAGCACAATCACATTGGAGCATTAAGGTAAGCCAGCTGATGAGTTCATCAGCACAGAAAGAAAATGATGCTTGGTAAAATCTCTTCTGCAAAGCTTAGTGCAGCATAAGAGATCAACAAAAAATAGTATGCTTATATTTTCAAATGGAGTAAATTACACCCAAAGAGCTGCTGAGGGGATGTTTTCTTTCTTGATTTTAAAGCCAGTTTTAGAGAATTCAAGGAAATCAGGTATTTGACTAACTCATTGTTAACGTAAGTAGCTGGAGAATGACTGAAAATTGTTTTTCAGCCTTTATGAAAAGATGAAACTCAGAGCTGGTAGGCCCAACATTCACCTACTGTAATTATGGTAAGACATACACACACAAAAGAAAAAAAAAAAGAGGAAAGCTTACTCAGCCCCGATTCTTCAAACATCAGACAAGAAGCAGAATGCATCAGCTGTATTCCAGAAAGTAAAGCAAAAACTCATGTAATTACTGACACAAATGCAAGGGTCCTTGCATGCTCTGCCACTTGTAAAATACCGACATAAATAATTGCTCAAGTGAACTACTTTTAAGAATAAGGTATAGGAAATATTTCAATAGCAATGTGAAGTGTGTGATGTCTGGAAGTACTGTTGATATTTCAGATTTGTACTGCCCTATCCAACCAAAAGCTTAAGAAGTCAAGGTAGTTATCTGCATGTTTATTAAAAAAAATGCATTTCCTCTATTATGGTAGATTAAAAGGAGGTTATTTTCAGAAAATGGCAAATTTTCATGATGACTTTCCAAAGTTATAGTTATTATTATTCTGCTGCACAGTTTTAATTATTTTGAGTAAACACATTTATTTTTATCAATGCAGAACAGAACTTTTTAATCCATGTTATATTGTAAAGTAATACGTCAACCCAAAGCTTAGTTTTCAACACCAAGGACAGGTAAATTAATACTGACACTGTTCAGTTTAGGTGTCATAAGTAGTTCACAAGGTTTAATACAGAGAAGATAGTGAGAATATTAGGGCTAAGTACCCAAAGGACACTGCGAAAGAACCAAGACCTGTGTGACATTTTTCGATGTCTGGCTTTTCAGACAACTGTTTCAGTGGTTTTCTTTTTCACTAGTTTGCTTTTTTTTTTTTTAGTAGTCTGCTTTTGTCTGAAATTCTAATTAAGACATGCTTCCTAAATGCTTCTGCTCAGAGCTTGTAGCATAACCTCCTGAGCACTACTTCACAGCAATAGCTGTATCATTAGAGCGAAAGCAGGCTTATACAACATATTCTGAAGCTAAATGCAGCTACTTAAGACTCTGTGTAGTCATGATGGCAAACAATAACTTTATATTCTATCCCTTGGTATAAATGCTCTCTTCTCAGAGCTGACAGGAAGTATTGTTGAACAATTCTGGGCAAGTGTGTTTTACTTCTCTATTTTAATGTTTTATTATGAGCTTCGATTATCTGTCTCAGCTCAACATCTGAGTCTAAATGTCTACCTCCTCTTTGAGTAGATTTTTACTGCCTTGTTCCACAGTTCACTTGTTAAACAGTTTAAAAGTTCTCATGATTTTACTTCCACATCTAGAAAATACATCTGAAAGCAGTATAGTCAGCACACAAAAGCTAAAGAAAATGAAGTGATGTTGTTGATTAAATACATAAATATATTACTTGCATGTGCCATTTCCCTGGGTATCTTTAACTTCCTTTTGCTAAAATGAGAATGTTCTTCCTGAGTAATACCTTGATTGAAAATGTCCCAGCCATCTGGGAAGTGCAGCCATGTACAGCAGTCACTAAGTAAGTAAAACTCCTCAGTTTGCCTTCTCACAGTGATCACACTAACTCCATCCAGATGTTCTCCTATTTAGGCCAAATGTTTGGAAGTCAGTATACCTCCAGAGGTCACATCACCAATGGACGAAGCCTGAAATTTTCCTGCAAAAACAGGAATGAAGTTCCCAACTAGTCTGAGTGCTAAAAATACACAAACACACAGCATTTGGTGCTAATCTCACAGGTATCATCTCAGAAACTTGACTCTTGCAAAACTGCAGAGGAAATTAAAATCCCAACAAGGATATGAGAGCGCGCAGGACAAAAGTCACCACATCTCAGCTTCTTTATTCCTTGCTGATAACTGTGATAGGGAAGATCTAATTGCCATTTTGACACTTTTTTTTGGAAGAGTGGTTTCCACAGGACATTAAGTAACCATGCCTTTTACATATGGTTAAAACTTCCTTCTAGCTAAACTTCACTGAACTAAACTGGGCTTGAGTACATGCTGAAGTGTAGTATGGCCCAGGACAAGAATGCAGCACTTTTCTGTCATCCTCTCCTTTAAAGATGCAGATTTGAACCTCTCTTTTACTTATGGCTCATCTATTCCATCTAGCAATGACCAACACGTAATTGATAAAGGGAGGAAAAGTAACAATATGCCATAGGTTTAGCGTAAATACTTTGCAAAGCTACCATTTCACAGTTTCGTCTATGGAGGTAAAACAGTTTGTGATTGAGGCTGACTGGAAACAGAATCCCTCAAAGTCCAAGACCACTGGAAGATACCACAAGCCAGGACATATTTTTTAAAATCTCCCTCACACATTTTCAGACATTTCTGTTCGCGCCAGCTTAACAGCAGCTTGCTACAGAGCAATGAGATAGGTACTACATCTGTGTAAGTAATACAATGACCACACTAGCTAAAATACTGGTGCTGTCTTATCCCTAAATATAAACCAAAATCAGTAATTTGCACATTTCCCTAAGCCAAGTCCTTCTGCAAATGTGCTTCTGAACTATGAACACATATGAGGTCTTAATTTAAATCGCATAAGCTCACACTTAAATCCTCAAGAAAAAGAGCAAAATTTCTAGCACAGTTTGTTACAATGCAAAAATAAATGCCTTTTTCAAAACATGGCTGTGCACAACAACAGCTGTGTTTGGATTCATGAGGCAAGAATTATCTTGACAGCTCTTGATATAGCTAAAAGATTTACTCCAAAAGACAGGTTGCTCAGGAGAAAAAAAAAAAGAAAGGTAAATGAGAAATCCTGGATATTAAGAAAAGTCAGACCATCCTTTGGAAAAGCCTTGATTTCTACTTTATTTTGCATTTTGTTCAGTGCCATATCCCTTTTGCTGAACTCCTGTAGGTGGTAGTGTTGGTATAATACGTTATGTGTGATTGGGACACTCTGCTCCCCTAGAAGACTTGGTTCTTTAAGGCACATTGATTTAATGACAGGTTACACTTTCTCTAAGGATGGTACTCCTTATTTTCATGATCTATAAACAAATCATTAAACTAAATTAATGTCTATAATTACTCAAGAAACGGGATAATCTGTGGAGAGGAAAGCAAAGACTATAACAAATACAAGCAAAGACTATAACAAATACATCCCCTATTGATCCTGTTATTCTTGAAATTTAGCTTTATTTTCTCCAGAAAGTGTGGAAGTAGTGTTGCTTCTTTTATTAACACTGCCCTTCACCTTTCACAGAAAACAAAGCATTGTCATCTAGACTTCCTACAGCTTCTTATTGAATAAGGAAAAAAAAAAAAAAGAAAAAGAAGGAAAAAAAAAAGAAACATTTAAGAAAACTTCTTGGTTGTTGTCTATAAGCAGAAAAAAACTCGATGTTGATGGAAAGGGTAATTGTTTTTGATGGAAGAAGCAATTATCAAATCAATAGTTTTGCCCTTTTCTCAGGTAACTCCAGTAACAGATATAAACAGAGAAAATGCCTTTCTCCAGAAATGTAAAATCGCCATACCTATTTAAACACAGAATAAAAGTACTTAGAAATAATTGCAAGTATGACAAATGCAACTGAAGCTCCAAGCCCAGCTCAAGGAAGGAATATTCTTCCAGGCAGTAGGTAACCAGTGGTGATGCAAACAGTTGCAGTGCAGATGGAGAAGGGCTTTAAAATTCCTTACCTCCTTGCATGCGGAGCCCAAAGATGAAAACCTCTCTGTTAATACAGCAGTTTTGAAAAGCCCTCACGAGACTTCAACAGTCACAATGCAACCCATTCACCGTTTTCATATGGATGATAAAAGACTAAAAAGAAAACAAATATAACATGATTGAAAACGTGTTTGGATGATGTGAAGGTGCTGTAAGAACTGGTACTGCAGTTAGCCAGCATTTATTTTAGCTGCTTAGGAGTACTGTTTGAATGTACTGCAAGCACACTATAATGTATGCACTCCTCAGTTACAGCTGTGGAAGTATTAAAGATGTAAAGTCAGATACAGTGGATGAGATATAATGGATAAGAAAGCCAATTTTAAAAATGAGAAAATATTTGAACAATACAATTTTTAGAGACAAAGGCTGCAGTTTTTCCTCCCTTTTGGACCTGTGGCAGAGAACGTTCCTGCTTTGTAGCAGGTCTAGTCAGAGGCACTTGTGGAGTGAACAAACAAAAACATGCCTGGAGAGGTGTTTAGAAAGGTCTCATCTGAGTGCAGCACACCAGCACATCTGGCCAAGAGACAGCTTTTCTGTGAAGATCTCAGGTGGCTGCTCTTGTCATGCATGTTGTTCCTCCAGTGTAGCAGGCACTGAAATTAATGCCATTCAGTTATCAGTAAAATTTGATTGGCTTCCACAAAAACAGCAAGGGCAACGGGTGGCTGCATCTCTCTTTCTTCACCTGAACAGTATCCGTGGTCTCCACTGCTTGCTCTCCTTAGTAATGCAAGTAGTAGCAGCTGCTGGATCTTGGCAATGTCTTGTTCCAGCTAACGTGGTGCTTAAATTTAGCAGGAAAATCCATTTTAGCGGCCTTCCTCTCCCTTCCCCTTTTGGGAAATTCAACTGAACTGTTAAATGTCAAACACTGGTGACGATGAGACAGTTCCACTAAGTGGCAGGATGAATCAAAAGCCTTAGTTGCACAAGAGTAGGCTGGCAAGTCCGTTAAAAAAAAAGCCCACGCAGTAAATTTAGAGCTGCTCTTTCCCCCTACAAATCAAATCAGCTGTTTGACAGCATAACATCTGTGCCAGAACAGTCCAAGAAAAAAGAACTGCGCTCAGATATATTTCCATTAGATCTGGAGATTTACAGGACAGAAATGAAGACAGATCTGAAGAACTAAAGAAGTAGATCATTATTTTAGGCAGTATTAATCAACAGCCCGCTATCCAAAACCCTGCTTCACACAGAAAAAAGACTGCAGAGCCTGTCCCTTGTAGCTCACCTCTGGTTATGAAAAGTCCTTCTGCCTTATCAGAGAGCATAGAGAACAAAGAACACAAAACTGAAAGTGAGATTAAATGTCAGAATTAGGCACATATCCCTCTCACGCTTCCAACCAGAGTTCAGCATTGAGTGCATTCTGCAACTTTTGAATGCGTATCAGGAGTAGGTCTAGCACTCCTCCTGCTTAGAAGTACCACATTCTTCATTTCAAATTTAATATCACAGCATCAAATATCTTAACGTCTTTAATCAATGGATCAGCTGTGATTGGTGGTAATTCAAAATCCTTTTTTTTTAACAGAGGGTTTTCAGTGTGAACATATAACAATTCAGAGAACTGACAAAACACAGTGAGTGGTATTTCTTAGTTGAGCCACCTGAGGCATGGAGTGTTCACTACTCTTTTGCATTACTGGCAGAGCTCCCACACAAGAAACACAGAAAAGTGGAGGAGAAACATTATTTTGTACTTACTCAGATTATCAATAAGGCAAGCTGCAAAAGACTTAAGTTCAAATCTATGAAATGGAGTCTCCTGAGGTGAATTGCTATTAAGGAAATACTACAGAGCTTCTGCTCGAAAAGCATGACTTAGTTTCCATTTTTTGAGACACACTGTAATGAATTCTTCTCATCCTAGATTGAAGTACTGCCTAGGAAAGATTAAAAAACTTGTGGCTGTCACTATTAGTACTGAATAGCTGGATTACCAAGACTTTCTGGGGAGCTTTAAACCTATCCATTACAAGTAAAGCATTCAGCAATTCTTCTTTCACAACCTCAGAAACAAACTAAATGGTAGTTCAAATATTTGCCCAACAGATAACTTTTGAACTCTGAACTGAAGAAGATCATGCTTCTATCACCAAAGCTGTTAGGTTGTTTACCTTTGTCCTTCTGTCTCACTAAGTCTGTTCTGTTTTAAAAAGCATACAACTGAAATTCTAAGAATAGCAGAACAACAGGAAAATAACAGCTATTGATACACTCATGCATTCCCGCTTGTAATTTGTTCTGGCCTCCTTCATTCCCCTCTGGCTATTTTTCCAGGAACATGAAGATGAGTGGTTACTACTCATGGAAACACTGAACTTCTGTTATTTGCAGAAATACTCACAGACTGTGTGTGGAAATAAGCTGTGCCTAAGGAAGTCAATATGCTAGTAATTAAAAAAAATATTAAATATCCAGGTAAGGAAGAGACTTAGTCTCGTGCTTGTTTGGTAACTGAATTACAGACTGGATGACCACAAGACATATTGAACAAACAATCAATTCTTATTGATTCAGAAGTACAATAAACAAATTGCTTCTTACAAATTGAGTGGATACCTATTAGCAGGATTGCTTACCAAGAATTAAATAGGGAAAAAAATGGCAACATCATAAGCAGATCTGCTTAAGTGGAAAATATTTCCAGCTTGCAACTTTCTTAACCAGTCGCTCAGTTGCTAAAACAAATGGTGCACACTTCATACATATTTGTTTAGCCACAGATGTGTTGCATGACAAATCTAATCTAGTCCAGGAAACAGAGAATGGGTTAGTTGAAAGAATTAGTAAAGGAAAGTAAATCACTTAATCTCTGGTCTGCTGGTTTGAATTCAATCCATATTAGTAGACATGAAGTTGCTACCCTCCAAGTACTATCTCACTGTGAAGGGGTCCATGTGAAATGAGCTGGCAGCCTTTGTCCTGCCCTACCAAATTCAAGACTTACACTTCTGTCCCGTGTGTGTGTACCCTTCTCAGAACAGCAGATTATATTAGCAAACACAGCAAGGACAAAGCAAAGCTTGTGAATGCCTGAAAACAGCTTATGCCTGACCTCTTAGTTGTAATGACTGCAGGAAACAGAGGGAGATCAGCAAAATATAAGCATTCAAAACCTCTGTGTGTTTTCTTCAGGGATGCAATATTTCTGAGTACAGATTTTCTTTTCCTGGTTATTTTCCTGTTAGTACATAATTACTGTCATTCTTTGAATGCTAATGTCTCACTAATTGCTGATTAAAGATCCAAAATAATAATCATCTCACAATTTCAGAAACCTCATGGCTAGAAAGCTGCATTATAGAAGGATGTCACATTCCCCAACACATAAAAGTGAAAAAAAGCTATAATATCTTAGATTTATAACTTGCCCAACAAAAATAATGTTACAAATTTTGCACTAAAGAGCTGAAATGAGCACTTTTTTCCATCAAGCAAGCAAGGTGTTAACTGTCTTTACTTTTCATAAGCTTTGTGATCATATTTGTGGGGCTCAAGGACAGTTTTGAAATGGCTATAAATTACTATAATTTGGCAGCAATGTTTTGTAAACATAGAGGATACACATAAATTTTAGTTTATTTCCTGCAGTAATCATTCAGAATTATTTCATATAAATGGCCCCTATAATCTAAAGCCTGCAGGTTTGATCTTAAGCACACCTGCCAAGTAGAACTTGAATTTGCTTTCATGCACTGTAACCAGGAAATTTCTACATGAACCCTAGTTATGACCCAGTTTTGATGACCTTTGAGAACTAAAGAGCAGGCCAAGCTTAGTTCTGTTAACTGTTGTTGTTTCATCCTACACTAAGATTTTGTCCCAAGCAGTAAAATACTGTTTCAGTACAACAAAGTATTTTGTGAAACTTTGGATTAAGTTTCCAGGATCTGCTTACAAAGAGAAAAGACAGAGATCTAGAATTAGCAAGGACAGGAGAACAATAGAAACTATAAATTGCACTTACTCTCTGTCTAGTCCCACGTATTTGAGAAGCAGGCCTTTATGACATACCAGAAGGATGATCAGGAAAAAAACAGAACAACTCACTCTTCCTGAACTGAATATGAAACTATTGTTCCTTGCTTCATCTTCTGTCAGCATTCTTGCTTCTGTGGAGGAATAAAAAACAAATTAATTACCTACCTGAAGAGCATAAGCATGTATGAGCAAATGTAAAAAAAGCAACCATACAAATATATTGGTAATTTGGAAAGCAATTCAGCCCTGAAGCATTTAGATTAGGTGCCACCAAACTGTATTTGATAGTGAGACTCACCTGGCTGAAGAGCAGTGGGTCCTGCAGCAGAAGCACAAGGGCTTCAGCATTGATTTTGTACTGTTGCTTTTTGTTGTTGTTTTGTTTTGTTTTTTTCTGGGAAATCATTAGGGTCTATTCTGAAATTTGCACTGTTTTTCACATTCATAATTCCAGTGAAGTTCAGAGCTTCCAGCGAGGTAACAGCTGTGAGTCTCACCTCTCAGTCCTGCTGATGAATCTGAGTGCAGACCTCACCACCTGTGAGCTCCCACATCATTCAACTTTTTTTCATGGGGGGGGAACACAGCCATAGGGTGCAAACTAAAGAATTGACTGCAAATATAGTCTACAGCAACAATATTGGACGAGCTCATGGAAACTATGCCAGGATATGTCCTTCTCTAGAGCCTTTATAATCAACTTTCTAAGCGTCATAGTGGCTGAAGCCAGTATGCTAACAGAACTTGTATCAACCAAAGAAAATATCACACCTCCTGTCTTGTACTAGTAATTTTAAATGTACTTAGATATGTCAGTGGAACTTTCACACAATAATGGCTATCCTTGTTTATTTAGATCTATCACTTCTAAGGCAATGTCTGAATTCTTGGTTTTGTGGACCTCCTTCTCGCTCATAGTTGTCTCCCCGTGTAGGTGTGGAGGACTCAGAGGTGCAGCAGGAAGGAACGGCTGATAGCAGTAAGTGACGGCTATTGGAGCATTAAAACATTACACACAGATTACACACTACGGTCTCTCGCTGCTCCCTTACTCATAAAATAGCACACCCTGCCCATAAAAGGCTTTAACTGAAACATAGCATCGAGATATAAAGATGTTAAGATGGATGTTCCATCACCCAACATCACAGAAAATGTTCATCACATAAAACTAATTGTGTTGATTCAAGTGCTTTGAAATGAGCTACTATGGGTTATGAGACTAAAAAGAATCCACATGTCAAACCTTTTTAGTTATTTTTCTTCTTAAATCTCCATTAATGTACACATACGTAAGCTGCGTGAGCCTCTATCCTGTAGAAAGTGGCTGAAACAGAGTGCAGCCTAACCAACTTACTAAGAGAATGTGTGTGGAAACAGGAGCTGTGCTTCAGAGGTCCAAAATTTGGTCCTGGAACTGGAACGTGTCAGTCTGAAGGTGGCAGACACAGTGGGGAAGGATGAAAAGCTTGATTGTCATGCTGCCACCTCAGCAAATGAGGAGCCATTTTTTAATTAACTGAGGCATGGGAGCTCTTGAAAATAGTCTCAGCATTTGAAATGCATGGAACAACGTTGTCATACCTTGGGTTTCATACTGAGCTAAAAATGACTTTATCTGTTCTTCCAAAAATGCAGTGAGTGCAGTTGGAGGATTCAAAGGCTGATGCCAGTGTAGCTGTGCTGGAATAGCTGAAGAACTTCTTGAATATTTTTGTCTAAAGCAAACAAAAGAGTCCTTCCAGGAAGTTCTGAGTAATCATTCGTCCTTTTGCGTAGCTGAGCAGCTACAGCAGGAAGAAACTGTCCTAAGACAGTCAGACCACGATTTACATAAACAAGGAACCCCACCAGCCTGCTTGAGGAAATGAAGGAAGAACAGACTGAAACATTTCCCAGGAATTTCAGTAACCAATCCAAGGAGACTCGTTAGAGAACTCCAAAAAAGAATTAGATCTGGGAGGTAGTAGAGAGCTTACTGATACCCCACAGAGAATTTCCTCTGGTGAGTAACACGAGCTGGGTTTTCCATTCCCCCCAAACTTTAAAGTTCTGTGTGTGGGCCTCTTAATGCTTTCTTGAACTAAAACAGCTTGTGTCTCTGGAGATGATAGGGGTATCTCTTCCCCCGACAAGAGACTACATGTGATAACATCGTAACATAAAGGAATTGAGACACCCAACCTATGTGGTTGGGACAGGGATTGCATCTCCACCCACAGACATCATGTCAAATCTTAATAGCAATTCTATGTGAGCAGATTTTCTACTCAAAGCAAATTAACTAGAGAAAACAATGCTAGGCTTTCCAGTTAAGCAGTCCTGCTTTTTATGCTTTGAATTTTCTTGCACTAAAAGTCTGTAAAGGGACTGGAGAAAAGATTGGGAAAAAAAAAAAAAGAGAAAAAGAAGAGAGGGGAAGATCCAGACAAAATGATATTGCATGTCTTGAAATGGACACAGTAGGAATCTCAACACTGAATATCTTGTAATTAACAATATGATGTGCATTTTTATGCTTATTGTATGCACATGCATATAAATACACACAAACAAGTCACTATTCATACATCACAGCTGCCTCCTCAGCTCTTAACATTGACCTCTATATTGTGCAAGTAGCAAAACATGCCAGAGGAAAGGGAAGGAAGTCTCAGGAAATTCAAAGGAGGGCACAGACATACAGCCTGCTCCACCCACAGTTAGAGGTGCCTGTAGATGTTCTATCATTCCCTAAGTCAGAATGGCAACAATACCCCCCTACACTTCCATTAGGGTGTGTTGACGCTACAACAATTGTTGGGCTACAAGTAGCATCACATCTAGTCTGTCCTGAAGCTATCTCTACTGTTCCCCCTTAGCTATTCATGTTTCCATGTAGAAAAACCTTAACTGACACAGAAGACAGATCAGAGCTCAGCAGGTTGCCCTGTAGGCATTTTGTCATGCTGTAACTAATTTTGCCTTGTGTGTCAAAAAAAAAAACTGAGTACACACCTCGTTTCTGAGATAACCTTCTCTAACCTTTCATATCAGCACGCAAGTATTTGAGTGGTTTCTCACATCCATCTCAATCTTCTGAAGCATCAGAACAAGAGATGAAAGAAAATGTGGATTACAAAGAAAAAAAAATAAATTGCAATGTTCTAGTCTTGATAAAAATAAGTATTTGTGCTCAGTGCAGATCCCTAAAATTACTGTTGTGTTTGTTTCTTTTTTAAGTGGTAAACTGTACCACTTCAGGTTGTTTTTTTTTAGTCTATACGATTTGCTTATTTCTTAAGGTAAACAAGCTAAAGCATACATCGCCCCTTCTTCAAGAGGGCAAGCACTGTTTTTGGGTGAGGCTTGTTTATTTTTAGACTTAAAGCTACTACTGCAAACAGATGCATAGATGGGTAACCCTGCCCCCTTCTTCCTGCAGAAGAAAAAATAAATAATTAGCCAATGTTGATGATTGCTTTTGAGCAAACACCAAAACACTAGAGACAATAGAAGTTTTATTTACAAATCCTAATCAGGGCCAAGCTTACAATCTGCAAAACATGCACAAGTTGTGCTCAGGAGGAGGAAAGGACAGCTGTGTGTCAGCATCAATCTCCTCTTCGAAAACACAAACCTAATTCTTTGCCCTTTGATCTGACGCAGTGATAAACAGTAGAATGACCTAAGACACCATTTTTTCCACTACACCTTCAAGAAAATGAATCAAAACAGGGCATGAATACTAACACCTCAGCAGACATAAGCACTTACTAAATATAATAGTGGTCTTTCTGTCCCTTCCATTTCCGCTGTTGTATTTATGTTTACATTCATACAATCAACCTCCTTTAGTACAAGGCACGTTCCAGTCAAAGGAATTATCACAGGAAAAATAAGATAGTTAAGATAAGCCTGGTTTTTAGCTTACAAATGCAAGCTTAATATAAAAGAGCTGTCAAATACAATGACACTGTTCTAATGTTAAACCAGAGTCTTACTGGGCATCTTTCTCTAGATTTTTACGATTTGAGGCTGTTCAGCCTGAAGAAGAGAAAGCTCTGGAGAGACCTGATAGCAGCCTTTCAGCATCTGAATGCGGGCTATAGGAAGGAAGGGGCAGACTCTTTAGCAGGGTCTGTTCTGACAGGACAAGAGGAGATGGTTCCAAACTAAAAGAAGGAAGATTTAATTGGATATAACAAAGAAATTTTTTACAGTGAGGATGGTGAGGCACTGGAAACAGGTTGCTCAGATAGGTGGTGTATGACCCGTCCTTGGAGACATTCAAGGTAAAGTTGGACCAAGCAGTTGGACCAGCAACCTGATCTAGCTGCAGATGTCCCTGTTCATTGCAGGGGAGTTGGGCTAGATGACCTTTAATAGTCCCTTTCAATTCAAACGATTCTATAATTCTATGATTTGTGCCCTCCTTCTTATAGCATGATTGGACAAACTGGAAGGTATGCAGGTACTCAAAGACCATGCTTAAAATAACAAAGTATCAGGATTATTTTTCCTTAACATGAGTAAAATCTAAAGAGGTGTAACATGGTCTTTTATTAGCAGTATATTTCTGTATTATACATCCAGTATCGATACTGCAGATTGGAGTAATTCCATTGAAACTCTCTGAAAAACAATGCTAAGATGATTAATTTCCATCTCCCCAACTCTAGGACACCTATGAACCTGCAATCAAAACAGTTTGTGATCCACCAAGAGCAAATAGCTTCCATAAAGGAGCAGGGAACAGAAACTCATGAATTTGGCTCAGTGTTGGACTACATTCGGCTACTACATCCAGGCAGAGCAATGTAAACAGAACACAAAATTGTGTCCTGTGTGTTCAACATGCAGCCTCTCTGATCGCCTAACTTGCAGTGCGCTTTGACATGACGATGAGAATAAGCTAGGGGCATATCCACACCTATGCATGGTTATAACACATGCAAATGCTTTGAAAAAAGTACATGCATGAGTACGTGCTTTTGGGAACGGAGAACAAAGCAGTCTCTGAAGAATCAGTTAATCAAAGCTTTTGACAGTGTAAATAACACCTTGAATTTTATCTAGAAAATCCATTATTCAGGTATAACAAAGTATTTCTGATTACACTTTACAGTAACTACGTAAACTAAAGGCATGA